AACATAAAGGATAATTAATGTCTCTTCAATAATAAATTAAAGGGGGAAGATCAAAACGTCGATTGGCCTCATACTGCTAGTGAAAGGCCACAAAGGCTTTCTCATTGCATTTCTGCATGGCTTCCATGCATTATAGAAGTTTAGCGGTGGACGACAAACAACATAATGGTGGTGGCGGATATCAAGACTAGCCCGGGGTAGCCAGTAGTCGCGGATGTCGTTGTTGCATTATTTGGTTTTGAGTGGAAATCATGTGTGGCTGGATGATAGTTTCATTTTGGCCGCACAGTATGCACCAAATGTTCTTACCAAAATCCTGCAAATGCTCCAACGACGGGATGATGTCTTTATTGGTCCAATATTCACGGTAATAGGGACATTATAAAAATACTTTGACGCCCAAGTTAGAGAGAAACTTAGGTTAAGAATGAGATTAATGTATAATGAGATCTAGTACTGACAGACTTACGGTTAAAATAGTAGATAATGAAAAAGGAAGAGAGAGAAAAAGGGATTATAAAACTAAAAAAAAATGTGTTTAAAAGAGAAGATTTAAGTGAATTTGAGATGATATTGTGGTAAAGTTTGTATAAATTTAATTTCACTCTCTTGTGAGTGAATTTATGTAAAAATTTTCATTAAAAAAAAGCATGAACAAGACTATCCCTACCCCATTCTTTAAATTTATATTTAAAAATAATTAGTCAAACATAAAAATTTTATTATCTAAATAACTTTTTTTTTACATTAAAAATATAATTATATAAAATACAATTTTAAAATTTTAAATTTCTCTCTATTTTTTACTTAATTTTACACTACCAAAATGTGTTTTTACTCAAAGTAAATTTTTAGTAAAATGAAACAAAACTATCACAAGATAGATCGGATACTAAGTCCGGGTTATAATAGTGGTAAATTGAGTTAACCACTCCAACAACAGAATGTTTTGCTATACATTAATCAAATATATTAAAATATCCATACATACATGAAATTATATTCTATTGAAACCATTTTTCCTCGCATTTATGATATTATTAGAAAAATTTAAGTCTCACATTGATTAGAATTAAGGTAATTAAAGAATATATAAGTGTAGAGTAATCTTCAGTTTACAAGTCGATTTTGTAGAGTTGAGTTAGGTTTAAATTCACAATTTTAAGATGATATCAAAGGTATCATAGATCCTTAAAAATGGGCAACTATCCTAAATTATTCAAAAAGGATCACCTACCATTTATCCACTTACTAAGTCTAATAGTACTAAACGTGAGAGGGTGTATTGAAAAAAACTCAAGTCTTACATCGACTAAAAATAAGACAATTAAAGAATATATAACTAGAGAGCAACCCCTTAACAAGTTATACATTATTTTGTATCATCAATTATAGGTGTACATAGATAAGTGCATATAATTTATATTTTAAATTTTTAATGTGTGCAATTAAATCAATAATTTAATTGCCGTATTAATATATACTAACTATAATTTTTTATAGAATTATTTAAGCCATGATATGAATTTTTTTGAAATCTATAAATATGAAATATATTATACATGAATAATTTTTTTAAAAAAATTTAATAAAAATTGTTATACAACCCAATTAGTGATTTATGAGTTCATTTCTGATACACTAATTTATTAACGTAACTAGTTTCATGACTAATCTAATTTTTAAAATATTGCTTAAGAGATCAAAATACATTTAAGTCAAATAAATAATTATTATTACATTAAAACTAAAAATATTATTTATTTTAGGATACTTTTTGAACTTCCATGATTGTATGAGACGCAGAGGACGCAGAGGGGGTATTCTTATCGATTCCTGATATTTTAGGAACCAAACACGTAGTCAATAAGAATTAATTGTTTCGTTTTATAAATTAATTTCAAATTATTTGTGAAAAATATTTTATTAAATCATATAATAATATATTATCATATTATTTAATGCATTGAAATATATTATTTATTTGTTAACATATATAATTAAATATTTGTTTTTGGTTATATCACGATTAGATTACAGAATATGTTTAATAATAATTTATAATTTTTTAATAATAAGTTATAACATTTTTAAAGCCATTTATGTCGCAGTATAATAATTTATGTCGCAGTATAACTTTTTTTTTTTTCTGTTAACATTTTGGTTTCAAGTATTGAAAATTTTGTTCACAGAGAAAACATTCAGAAACTAATTAAAATCAAATAAAATTTGTTCAGAAACTAAAAATAATAATTTAAAAAATTTAAAGATTAAAAATATATTTAATTCTTTATATATATACAAACTTGTGTTATAAGCTTTTAAAAAGGTTATAATAATGATGCAACTTATAGTAATTCATATTCTAATAAAGGAAGTATTCCTTTTATCACAGAGTTTAAATTATTCAACGATGGTACTAATAATAAAATACATTTGATATATGAGAATTTTTTTTCATATTTGATAGTCATAATTTATGATTCTCATGAATAATAAAAATATGTTTGATTATTCATGAGTATTTATGAAAATATTTATATATTAAATAAATAATAATAATTTTTATTGTATTAAATAAGAAAATAAAAGTAACATCACATATTATAGAATAAAACTTTTTATTTAATTCGAGAATGTTTAATTTTCATCGTTCAATAGAACAATGAATAATTTTATGATAAAGAAAGATAAAGATTATTTATAAAAAAATTTAATTAAAAATATTATTTTTAATTAATAAATTAAATGTGTGAAACTAATTTTTCTAACTTCAGATTCCTAGACAAGGGAAAAAAAAATCCTTGTAGGAAATGCCTCCAAAGGAAAATTATATCACGAAAACTTTTGTACATATTTTAGTTTACTAAAGTGTAAATGCTTTTAAGTAGGTTTCATCTAATTTTTGTCCATTCTCTAGGACTGGAGGTTTCAAATTCAACTCTTCTTAGCTCAAGAATCACGAACAAAGGGAGGAATGTGAAGTTACGTCAAATCGTTCAGCAATTACGACTCAGCAATTCTAGTTAAGATCGTTGATCGATCCTCACATGAAGAAATTGAAGATCTTCTTAACATGATTTTTTCCAAGGGATCTCGTGGATCACCAATCCATTTACTGCACATTCAACAATCGTTCAGCGATTATGGTGTGTTGCTAAAGTGAGTTTGAAAAACACGCAAAATAAAAATAATTATTTAACATGAAGAGGTGGAAAGAGATCCAAAACAATATAGACGACGTCACAAATTTTTACTTCAATTGTACACCAAATAAATAAAAATTAGTTAATGAAACAATTAATTCATAAAAATCTTATTAACTCAATCTTATTGGTTGAGGTTATAAATTAAAACTTAAAGTGTAATATATTAACATAATTTTGTGTAACAAAATTTGAATACTTTAAATGACTAATGGAATATTATTTTCATTATATTCCTTCAATAAAATAATTTGCAAATTAAAATTCTATACTTTTTCAATGGCTTAAAATTGTCAATAATTAATGGACAAATAACTTTATTTACAAAAAAAAAAATCCTCACTCTATGATTTAAAACTATGAATACATGATGAATAATAACTTTAGAAAACATTTAAAAATATTATATAAATTTTTTAGTATTAACGTAAATATATAAATATTTTTTTTATATATATTCTAAAACATTTGCGGCGTGATGGATATAAATATTAACTAAAACAATTGCGGGGTATGCAGCTCCATTTGGTGGGGTGAGTTAAAAATAGAAAGAAATTATAAATGAGTTTTTTTATAGGAATTTTTTTTTCCATAAACACATTATGAAAGAAAGATAATAAATTAATAACAAAGAGAATAAAGAATATATATAAATTAGAGAAGACTAACTTATTTATAAATATATATACCAGCTAATAATTACATAACTAAGAAATAATATAAATTAAATATGATCATTTACTAATTAAATTACCAATTATTATTCATAATATTTTCTTTTATATGTTTATTATTTTAGAATTAATGACTAATCTTCGCTTAAATGTAACTTACACCGTCCAAAACTCGATGCTAAGAGCACCATATAAACATGAGTTAACAACTAAAAAACTAACTCATATAGTTGCGAATAATCCAACGGTTGAGATCATGCTGTAAAAGGCATGACCATTGTAGAGGATCCAAGTTGATTTAAAAGCCCAACAATATTAGAGAGATGATATAAGAGCATAGACAAATTTATATTCCATAAAGAAGGGCTACTTTTTAATAATGGATTTAAATAAAAATTAAATTTTAATAATTAAATATATCATATCATTTATCTAACTTATTAAAAATATTTATAAATCATAAAATTTGTTAATAATATAGAATATGTATAAAATTTAAATCAATCTCTCAATATAAAAATAAACAGTTAATTAAAAATTCATCTATCATCTTTTTCTTAAGTTTATTTTCACTATTTGCATAATAAAAAATAAACTATCAGTTATAACAACTGAAATAAAAAGAGTTGGTCTCAATCAAATTAAAAGGTCAAATACATATTTTCTTGATAATTATATTCTGTCACAATTAATAAATGCATTTTATCCTAATATTTTTTTCAGATATATTTTATCATAATATTTTTTAAAATATGGTACAATAAATAATATTAAGTATATTTTCTTAAGTTTTCATTAGAATCTTTATTTCATCTCCCTTAATGGTACACTGTTTTGAGTGGATATCTAAAGCACTATAATTTAGTGGGTCTTTCAATGGTCCTCTTTGCTTTCAAAGTTATATTTTTATTGGTCTTCCATTACGGCCCTCTTTGTTAATTTCTATTGCACCATCAAGTGAAATAATAGTTGAGACAGGACTTTAGACGAGTGACTACATGTTTTGTGCATAAATGTGTATTGGCTTATAGTGCTAGACTTTGAAAAGTGTAGTCAAGTCATAATAAGTACCCACTAATGCCACTTGATTATTTCCTATTTAAGAATATCCCAGCTCCAAATTCTGTCGCCACCACAAGACACCATCCATTTCCAAGAATCTGATTGTATTGTTGATCCAGAAATCCTTTTATACTAAGAACCATGGTATCCATCAAGATTCTTTTCTATTTTCTGTTGGTCTTTCTATCATACTCTTCACCCCAAGTTGCTAGTTTTTCCAAAATCATAGTTGCCGTTGGTGATCAAGGTGCAGCGAAAAACAGTGAAGCAAAGGCACTGTTAAAGTGGAAAAATAGCCTTGACAAAACCAGCCAAGATCTCTTGTCAACATGGAGAGGTAATAGTCCATGCAAATGGAAAGGAATTCAATGTTTCTCAAACTCTGTCTCCTCCATAAATCTTCCAGATTATGGACTCAAAGGTACACTTCACACACTCAACTTCTCCTCTTTCGCTAACCTCCTTAGCCTAAATATCTACAACAACTCCTTTTATGGAACCATTCCCCCACAAATTGGTAATATGTCCAAAATAAATGTTTTGAATTTTTCTTTAAATTCTTTCCATGGCTCCATCCCTCAAGAAATGTGGTCACTAAGGAGTTTACAAGGCCTTGATCTTTCCACATGTCAACTAAGTGGAACAATTTCTAATTCCATAGCAAACTTGTCCAAATTGTCATATCTAGATTTAGGCACCAACAATTTTTTAGGCCACGTTCCTCTAGAGATCGGAAAGTTGAACAAGTTGGAGTATCTAAGCATTGCGGAGAATAACCTTTTCGGTCCCATTCCTCAAGACATTGGAATGTTGACAAACCTTAAGCTTATTGATTTGTCAACAAACTCTCTATCCGGTAGTATCCCTGAAACAATAGGTAACTTGAGTAATTTAAATGAACTTTACCTTTCTAATAACTCCCTTCTATCAGGGCCAATTCCATCCTCTTTGTGGAATGTGTCTAACTTGACCTTGCTCTACCTTGATAACAACACACTTTCTGGATCAATCTCTTCCACCATTGGAAACTTGGCCAATTTAGTGGAACTTGCACTAGATGTAAACCACTTTTCCGGATCGATTCCGTCCACCATTGGAAACTTGACAAAGCTAATAGTGTTGTATTTAGGATTTAACAATCTTTTTGGAACAATTCCTCCCTCAGTAGGAAATTTGATCAATTTGGATGTCCTTAGTCTCCAAGTAAACCATCTCTCAGGAACAATTCCAGCCACAGTTGGAAATTTGAAAAGTCTCACTACTTTGGAATTGTCCACCAACAAACTTAATGGCAACGTTCCACAATCCTTGAATGACATTCCCTATTGGTATTCCTTGTTACTGGCCGATAATGATTTCACAGGTCATTTACCACCTGAAATTTGCTCATCTGGGTCACTGGCATTCTTTACTGCTCATCTCAACCATTTCACAGGTCCAGTTCCAAGAAGCTTAAAGAATTGCTCTAGTATTGCTAGACTCAGGCTGGAAGGAAACCAATTGGAAGGAGATATAGCACATGATTTTGGTGTCTATCCAAATTTGGAATACATTGATTTGAGTGACAATAAGTTTTACGGCCAAATTTCACCAAATTGGGGTAAGTGCCCTAGCATTGATACCTTGAAGATATCCAACAATAATATTTCTGGTTGCATACCAATCGAGCTTGTTGGGGCAACTAAGTTGGGGAGGCTTCATCTTTCTTCAAATCACTTGACTGGAAAGCTACCAAAAGAGCTAAGTAAATTAAAATCATTAATTGAAGTCAACATCAATAACAATCATCTTTCGGGAAACATTCCCATTGAAATAGGATTGTTGCAGAATCTTCAACTCTTGGATCTTGGAAAAAACGAGTTTAGTGGCACAATACCAAAACAAGCAATAATGTTGCCCAAATTAATAAAACTGAATTTGAGCGATAATAAAATAAATGGAATAATTCCTTTTGATTTTGGCCAATTAAAGTCTCTTCAAACTCTTGATCTTAGTGGGAATTTGTTAAGTGGAACAATACCAGGAGATCTTGGAGATTTAAAGCAATTAGAAATGTTGGATCTCTCTTCCAATAATCTTTCAGGTACTATTCCATCTTGTTTTGATCTCATGTTAAGTTTGACTTCGGTCAACATATCAAACAACCAGTTAGAAGGGCCACTTCCAAAAACTCGAGCCTTTCTTAAGGCTCCAATTGAATCATTGAAAAATAACAAAGGCTTGTGTGGAAATGTCATTGGTTTGATGCTTTGCCCAACCAACCACATTCAAAAGAGGCATGAAAGCATTCTACTTCCATTATTCCTTATCTTGAGTGCTCTTATACTAGTATTATCTGGGGTGGGTGTTTCAATGTATATTCTTTGTCGGAAAGCAAAGAAGAAAGAAACAAATGCTAAAGAAAAATCAGAGTCTGAAGAAGTATTTTCCATATGGAGCCATGATGGAAAACTTGTGTTCGAAAATATCATTGAAGCTACCAATAATTTCAATGAGAGGTATCTCATAGGAGTGGGAGGGCAAGGATATGTTTACAGGGTTGAGTTTCCTTCAGGTCAGGTTTATGCTGTGAAGAAAATTCATTTGGAAAAAGATGGAGAAAATTCGAATTTTAAAGCTTTCGAAAATGAAATTAGAGCTTTGACCGAAATTAGACACCGCAACATTATAAAGCTCTATGGATTTTGCTCACATCCACGATTCTCATTTTTGGTTTATAATTTTTTGGAAGGGGGTAGCTTGGATCAATTACTGTGCAATGACACAAAAGCAGCCACATTTGAGTGGGAAATGAGGGTGAATGTTGTTAAAGGAGTGGCCAATGCTTTATCCTATATGCATCATGATTGCTCACCTCCAATAATTCATCGTGATATATCAAGCAAGAATGTTCTTTTGGATTCACAACATGAAGCTCATGTCTCTGATTTTGGGACAGCTAAGATTCTAAAGCTGGGTTCACACACTTGGACCACATTTGCAGGCACATTTGGGTATGCAGCTCCAGGTTGGACCCTTTTTCTTCATTCTTACTTTCTTAGAAATATAGATAGAAATGATCACATTCTTTTTAATTAATGTACAACATTTTATATTCAAATTTTGTTTAAACATTGTTTACTTATAGAGGAATTGGACTAATCGTTAAGCAAAAATTAGTATACAAAAGTGATATGTGTGCACATACAAAATCCATTTGGAAAATATAAGTTAGTGAACTTGTAGCATATACAAAAACCCCTACACTGGTTTATCTGTAACTTCAAATTTTTGATATGTTGTAGAGCTTGCCCAAACTATGGAAGTAACTGAGAAATGTGATGTCTTCAGTTTTGGAGTGCTTTCTCTAGAAATCATCATGGGGAAGCATCCAGGAGATCTTATTTCTTCATGGTTATGTTCATCTTCAGCAACAGTAACTTGTAATTTGAAACTAATTGATATATTAGACCAAAGACCACCTCAACCTCTAAATTCAATTGTGGGGGATGTCATTTTGGTTGCAAGCATGGCATTTTCTTGCTTGAGTGAAAATCCTTGTTCTCGTCCAACCATGGATCAAGTGTCGAAAACGTTTATGATGGGGAAATCACCTTTAGCAAACCAATTCCCTATGATTAGACTTGGGCAACTGCTATAAAGCAATGAACTAATTAAATATTTTGCTTTTCTTGTTTTCTTCTTTATACACATTTATCCTTTCTCTTATCACATATATAAGTTACTAAAGTAGTTAGATTTTCTGGTTCAAATACTAGGGGGATTTTGATAATGATTTTTTTTACATTTACTTTTGTGGGAAGTCCTTAGTGGAATTTGAGCTTGCATATGTACAAATTATTCGTGTGAATAAAGAACTAATTTATGAATTAAAGTATTGTAGATTCTCTATCATTTTGATCCTTTTTTATCTCTTCTTTTGGGTAAGTTTGCTTTTAAGTAATGCCTTTAACCATTTTAGATAAAGTTTTATTCAATTTTCATCCATTGGCTCCCTATCCAATGGATAATTTGGGAAGTTGGTTATGATAATGTTTTTAAACCTGACCCAATTTCATTGAACTAACAAAATACTAGGTTATTCAATTAATGACTCGAACTATCTATGCATACCTTTTTCTACTTTTCCCGCGAAAGGAAAATGTAGGAAGAGCACTTGTTGAGATGCAAAAAAGGGTTCCACATCATTAAGAAATAAGGAGAAACATAGGATTATAAAACACAAACATGCTCCATTGATAAGAAGTTTTTTGGGTGATTACCAAAAAACAAATTTATGAGGATTTAAGTTTAAAATAGACAATATCGTACCAATGTTGTCCCACATCATTAGGAGAGAAGGAGAAATATGAGTTTATAAAACACACATACTTATTAGTATGAGAACTTGAGAACTTTTAAGTGTTGACCAAAAGAAAATCTTTGAAAGTTTAAATCCAAAGTGAAAAATATCATAAAACAATATGGAGATCCAACACATAACAAGATATACTAATGCTTTTCTTGAAAAAATATATCTTAATACAACGAGTACACAACAACCCATCAACACTTATGTCACAAGCGATACCTAAGTATTTTACTTTCTTTTCATTCTTGTGTATTCCGTCCTTATTTGTGTTGTATGTTGTAAGATTACTTATTTTGTTCATTGTATATATCATGTACAATTTGAAAATACTAATTTGTTCATGTAATAGTTATGATAAAAAAATTAAGCAAAATAAAATGAAAATAATGGAAAGGGGAAATTCTAGAAGTAACTATAATTAAATTAATCAATGGATTTACCTCATTTGGTTGAATAAAACATATATGCATGAATTATTGTAAACTCTTTTGACATCAAATTCAATTATGATGGATAAAAAATAAAAAAAATTGCATAAAGCTTACACTCCACTAAGATCTCATCCAAATTTAAACCCATTGAGTTAAAAACAAAACCCCAATTTATACGACTCATATCTTATCCCACTAGGGGAAAATTCATTATTTTTCCTTCTCATTATTCACCCCCAAAGTCATCATTTAGGGAAAACTTCATATTTTGTAGCTTATAATTTTAGACTTATCAATGGGGAACACGACATACACTCACAAGTTGCAATTTATTTGCCACTTTCTAGTGTTGTAACTTCCAGACATGATGTGCAGGGTAGAAATTTAAGGTTTGAAAGTTATCAAGTAACCAATTTAAGATACTATGTATCAAATTTTTTAAGCATTTAACTGATTTGACATGAGGTTTAGTAAATTAGTTACATGACAATTGATTAAGTTTAGATAAATTAATAATCACGCAAATGAGACTTTTAGCAAAATACACTTCAACATTTGTGACTTCAAAAGGGAAAACCTTGCATCTCATTCTCATTGTTCTATCGCCATGCGATGGTGATGTCCATCGCCCCTCTCCTTCCCCACCATAAAATGTTTGCCACTCGTTTTCGATGATCAGAAAACCTAGAGAGCACCCACCCTCGATGAGCCCCTTCACCCATTCCCACACCTCCTTGGGGCCCGTATTCAGGTAAAATGTGTTGACCACATGATCCACGTTGTAGTTTTTGCATCTGGACAAATGGGTGCTCCACCAAGGCTTGAATCAAAAGATTCTGGTAAACCTGATGCCCAAAGCTTGCCATCGAAGAACATATGGAAATTGCGTTCTTCCCAATTATTGCTAAACATCAAAACCCTAACAACCATGCTGTTGCACCGATTGAGTAGAAAAGCCCTCTCTTGCTTTCATCTTCTCCCTTAGCCAACTTCATGTGTCATCACAAATTTGGAATATTTTACGGCTTAGAGCTCCTCTAAATCATGAAGGTGCTTCTGAAAAAATTTAGCATAGGATCATGATCCCTATTAGAATAAAAACAAAGTCTTACATCCTCGAAACGTGAAAAGGAATAAGGGTTTATAAAACATACATAGTCTTCATTGGTATAAGGTCTTTTAGGCAATGACTAAAAGCAAAATTCTTGAGAGTTTAGGCCTAAAGTAAAGAATATCATATCAGTGTAGAGACTTGTATGTGTGAGAACCCCCATTGCCTAATAGTGGTACCAAAGTTAATGGTTTAATCAAGGGACCGACTTGAATGAGTATTATATTTGACAATAGAAGGAGGTGGATCCCTTATGTCAAAAGTCTTCTTGATGATGTGGAGGTTAGGTGGCATGTCTCATTAATGTGAGCTAGTAGTGGTTCAAGTGTCTAGATCTTATTGGAAGGTGATAATTAAGTAAGGATGGCATGCAATGAGAAAAAGTGGATATGAGTTTCACTATCCCTATTCCCATATCCTATACTTGTCCTCATCCCCAAACCCAACAAGTATGAAATTTGTGTCCTTATTCCCGCATCCCTGTAGGATATCGGGTATACTCGTACTCGGCCAATACCTACTAAAAGTAATTAAATATTTTTTTTAAAAATATATACAAAAAAATTTCAACATAGAGTAACAATTATAGAATTACATTAGTTAAGTTTTATTTTATATAAATTTAAAATAGAGTAAGAATTACTTAAATGTTAAGCAATTTTTTTAAAAAAATAAATTAAGTTTTAGAAACTTAAATAACATGTACGAGTATGAGTATGGATATGGGACAGGTAAGCATATACTGATCCTCATCCCTATAGCCAATTGAATAAATCAAGTATTATCTGGTCAAATCGAGTATTTCTTGTCAAAGTCGGGGTAAGTTCAAGTATTACTTGCGGTACGAGTTTACTTGTCATCCCTATGACTAAGTTCTAAGCATCACCATTGAATACTCATTGGTGGAAAAAGGGATTTATTCTAAAGGTGTTAAGTCAGACGAAGAAACTTCCAGCAAGGTTTTAAATGAGACAAATATAATACATATTGTTATTTCTAACAAGTATGTTAGTGTTTCAAAAAAAGACATAAATACGGGCAAGTCAAAGTATAAAGAATATATGAACCAAGAGGCAGTGCGAGCAATCAAAATAAAAGAAAAGCTACAAGATATCAGATATCAGATAAAGAGATCAAGCAAAATCAAGTCCAGAGTAAGAAGGAAAATGATCAAACCTCAGATGATACAAGAGCAAGCTTGATCAAAAGGCAAAATGTAGCTCAAAGGTCAAAAACCAAATATTAGCACTAGTAGAAAAATAGTCTTTTACGTCACTATTTTTACGTCAGTCAAAACAGAAAACGACGTAGAAAAGACGCGGTGGCATTTTTGTAAATTTTGTGAACTTTTTTACGTCGGACTTAATAGGGTCCGACGTAAAATGTAAAATCTACGTCGCACGTACTTAATGACCGACGTAAATTTTAAATTTTACGTCGGAGTTTACTGTATCCGACGTAAAAAATCTCTCCAAATTTTCCCGCCTCAACAACCATTTCGGTAGGTTTTAAATTTAACCATTTCGGTATAACTGGGCAGGGGAACGTAGCTCTCTCACAGAAGCTTCCTTTGGGATTAACTGGGTAGAGGTGCCAGATGCTAAGCTGTGGAAGAGAGGTGCCCGATGCTCTCCGCTGAAACAGGACTTCAAGCCTTCGAAAGCTATGGAAGAGAGGTGTTTTTTTCTTCATCCACACCAACATTGTAGATGCATGGCAACAAGAGAAAGGTCACGTTTCCTTTTCCCATGTACAAGTTCCCTTTTGTATGTATTTTTCTTCACTGCTGCACCTTCTCGTTTCTTCACAGGTAGAAAATTCTTTGCGCGTGGGTGGATCTGCAACAGAACGGGCCGTTCTGCAAGGAGAACGGCCCGTGCTGCAAGGAGAACGGGCCATTCTGCAAGAAGAACGGCCCGTTCTGCAAGGAGAACGGCCCGTGCTGCAAGGAGAACGGGCCATTCTGCAAGAAGAACGGCCCGTTCTGCAAGGAGAACGGCCCGTCCTGCAAGGAGAACAACCCGTTCTCCTTGCACACAATAAAGAAGATCATACATCATCTCCATTCATAAGAAAAGTGCACGGAGTCATCAAAGAAATGAAAAGAAAGAAGAGAAACACAAGAACGCAAATTCATAAGTTAAAGTCGTGTGTGTCAGAGCAAGTATAACCACTCTTCAGAGAAAGACAATACTCGCACAGCCAAAAATGTTAGAAAAGGTACAAATACATCTAAGTCATGATTATAAGTCAAACATAGAAATAAACAAACCGGGAAAAGATCTCACGTAACCCAGAATCATCGAGCAAACATTTAATGCAAAATAAACTACATTAAATACAAAATCTACGAAACCCAGACAAACTGAACAAAGCAAAAAAGTGGTTAATCAAGCATCAAGAGCTATAAGAAGAAAGATGAAAGGAGGTCAAGAATGAAGTCAACAACACAACAAATGAAGGATAACACAAACAGAAAGATACTTCAGAAAATTAAAAGAACAAATCTAGCCATCCACAATATGTTGACCAGACCATAGAAGAAGTCAAAACATCAACAACAAACACTCAGATGAAGAATGAGGTTGAGACGCATAGAACTACTAGACGCAAACGAAGACTACACTACAAGAAATGTTACATGTAGTGACATACAATATATGTAGGTACAATATATGTAGGTATATATCTATTTGACATATAGTTACACACAATTTTAGTGTTGATTTTGAATGAGATTTAACAACATATTTTGTGAGTCACTATAGCATATACC